GCCATACTGGGGCCAGGGTTGGGGAGGCCATGCTGGGGCAGGGTGGAGGCTGTGGTATGGAGCCAGCCAGAGTGAAATAAGTCAGAGCATTCACCCATGCAATCTTGAAGCCAGGAGACCTTCTGGGGAGAGTCAACTATTGGGCTGGCCTAAAGACCCATTGGCAGTGTGGGACCATGAAATTGGGCCCCTGCCCAGAATGCCAGGACTTTGTCAATGGTCCCCAAACCCCATACAGCACTCACCGCGGCCCTGACACTTGCAAACTCCACTATGGCGTTGCCTGCCTTCTTTCTGGAAAGCACCAGGTTGAGAACCTCTCCATACTGTGGGAACAAGAGAGCCACAGTAAGTATAACTGGACACGCAGCATAGCCCATTCTACCTCAGTGCAACCCTGGAGTTAGTTATTACCAGGGACCCAGAGAAGCAAGACTGGAGAGTTAGTTGTTTTCATTTCCCGAGGTATACCGGACCGCAAAGGTGAGATGGGTAGCCCACTGAGACCTAGGCAAGTACACAGCACAGCTGTGTCAACTTCTGAAAGCAGGAAAGAGGAGGGGGCTTTCATTCCAGACAGACACCTCCTCTCCCCAGCACATCCAGCTAAACCCTGAGCTTCAAGGAAAGGGCTAGGCTTAGACATGGAAGGAGCTGGCCAGAGGGACACATGATAAATGATGGGAGAACTGGCCTAGGGGAGTCTCTAGACTGACCCATGGTTATGAGACAGACAAGAAAAGAGTAGGTAGTGACATTAGAAGTATAGGGTATTTGAGCTCACTGGCCTGGGATAGCAGGAAGTGGCAGAGTGTACCTTCTGCAAAAGCCTCAGGAGGACATCTCTGGAGTAGCCACCTAGGGATTCATCTTCCTTCTTACACTTCCACTTGAGCTAAAAGACAACATTACCATCAACCACACCAGACTCTACAAGGGAGCTTGCCCCCTGAGCAGACCCCTGCTGCTCTCCAAGCTCTGATAATTTAGACTACCCAAACTATGCCTCCTCTGGAAACTGAGAGGGAGGCAGCCTGATTAGTCTTAGTGACACTTTGTACACTCTAGGAACCCATCTCAAGCAGACGGTGGTGGCACACGCCTTTAATTCCAGCCCTCAGAGACAGAGGCAGGCAGATCTCTGAATTTGAGGCCAGCCTGGTCTACAGAGTGAGTTCCAGTATGGCCAGGGCTGTTCCACAGAGAAACCCTGCTTTGGGGGAAAAAAAGAACCCATTCAATGGGCATCTGAGGATGTTACAACCACCTGGTGTGACAAGCTCTGAGAGACAGTCTGAGGGTGCAGGCCCAAGACAATGGAAGGATGCAGTACTGGTGTGACACGCTTTGAGAGGCAATCTGAGGGTCCAGGCCGGGACAATGGAAGGATGCAATAGTGGTGCTGGTTCCCCAGGAAAACACCTGGTCTTGTGGAGAACCACTGTGCTGTGATCACCAATCCTGCAGACTCACCTTTAGTTTGGGGGTTCCCCTGCCTTCAATATTTTCTGTTCTT